CCGTGTTTGAAGAAACGCAGAAAAAAAATATATTTATTACAAAAACACAACAAAAGGAACAATTCTAAAAATAAGGCAGTGCAAAGCATTTGCCGTCGACACCCACCCACCCACGCCTGCACACACACACACACACACACACACACACACACACACACACACACACACTCTCGCTCTCTCTCTCTCTATCCGCGGATGGACATGAAAGTGCGCGCCAGTCATGATCTCTCGCGGATGGCTTTTGCTATCTCCAGCAGGGCGTTGCACATCATTCTATTCGCCTCATCCGCCGCTGCATAGTGTTTCCTCAGCACCTCCACCTCGCTCTCCACGATTTCGCACTGCTATGACATCATAGAGCATTGTCGCTTGCTGGCGCTGTCCATTGTGCTCGCCATGAGCGCACCATGCTTCTCCATGACGTCGGCGACGGCTTCAAAGGTTTGTTGCCGCATGTTCTTCCTCTTCCCATAACCGCCGCCGCTTCCCGCGCCGAATGACGAGTCTTTCGTCGACCCCTGCTCCTCGTCTGCCGTCTCCCCTCCACCATCGCCGCCCATGGTGCCCCCCCCCCCCCCCGCGCCTGCGGGCATTTGAACCCCCCCCGCCGCCCCAGTGGCCGCCAAATTTGCCGGGTGGATCGTGTGATCCCCCTTCGTCATGGCCTCCATTTCGTCGTACACGCTCTGGTCCATGACGAAGCTGAAGCCCTCCGATCGCCTGTCCCTCAAAGCAAGCCTGAAGTAGTCCTTCCCGCCAGAGAGGTTATGAAACTTGTGCACCTTCTTGAATTGTTGCATCAAGTTGTCCCATTTCTTCCCGCAGTCGACGACATCCCTCGTCACTCCCATCGCCTGCAACCTCACCCGCACGTCCTCCCACTTCCACGCGGCCATTTTCATGCAGGCGAAACTAGTCCCCAGGCCGGCGATATACAGATCTTGATCCCTTTTCGCCCTCACGAGCGCGACCATGTCTCCCACCGACCAGAAATTCCGGCCGCCCACGCCATCGTCATCCATGTTCTTCGTCCGTCTCGGTTTCGTGGCGGGGCCCTTCTTAGCACCGGATCCGCCTCTCGTCGCCCTCCTTCCAAGCGGCCTGATGTCTGGTAAATCGTCGGACTTGCAACTGTCCTCGCCGTCCACGTCGTCACACCCCTGCCCCTCATCAACAGCCGTGTCTTCCACTTCGTCGACGTGCAGCCGTTGCACCCCTCTGGTGATCGTTTTCGTTTCACCTCGATGTAACTCCTGCCTGCATTCTGCCCATACCTGCCTGCCGTCGCGTTGCACGTCCGGAACTCCCCCAATCAAATCCTCCGCCGGCTGCCACCCTCGAGTAGCACCGGGTCCACTTCGCGTCGCAGGCGACAAGCAAGCGCATCCAGTCCAGTCGTCTTTGCGCACTGAATCCTCCACCGACGCTCGGCGACGAGTTATTACGATCACCTCCACCGTCGCGAACTGATTGAGGCAGACCGTCGTCTCGTGGGCCGCAGACAGCGCCTTGCGTGTTTTCCGCGCAATCCCCACCCGGGTGGGGATTGATGATCCGAGTGTGCATTGCGGCTGCCCCGCTGCTGCTCGACAGATGAAAGCTCAGATGGACCGCTGCATCGCCGTCGTCATCGCCCAGCCCCTCATTCAGAAGTGACGTGTAAGACCACGGCGTCTCCACCCCCCTGGCGCCGCAGGATTGCGTCGCCGCCCAGTCCTGCGTAGAACCGCTTCCCAACGGCAAAGTCGGCGACCTGGCTTCCCTTCCCTCGTCATCCGAAGACGGTAGAGGAATCTCGTGAGAAGGCAGGTAAGCATACAACCTCGGGTCGTACGGCTGCTTCGCCACCGACCCCGCACTGCGTTGGCGATTGATAGATCCGCCGGATGTGCCTGCCGGTCTGCCGTTCGGCAGCCGTCCAGCCATCCTGTCGGCCTTCTTGGGAGATCTCCTTCTGCGAGACGCGGCCGGGACGAGGCCAATGAGACACACGTGGTAGAAGACAACGGCGAGAAGCAGCAAGACGACGAGGAACAACAGGGGAAGCCTGTGCAGCAGGTCGGCCATGTAAGAGCCGTTTGAAGGGGATGAAACCGACGTCGGCGGTGGACCGTTCAACGAACAAGGTCGTCGAGACAAGGAAGATCGGTGGAAGATCTGTGCTCGAACGTGGGAGGCGTGACGGCAGTGGAAGAAAACGACGATCCTGTCGAATGACTGTCGTCGCCGAACGGGGAGCCGTGTACAAAAACTTTCGAATTTCGGACCGTTGTCGACGATCGCCCGCCGGAGCAGACCGCACGACGGCGGTGGCCGTCGAGTCGCGCGGACGGACGGAGGCCTCGCGCCGCCGGTTACCATTTGGAGCCGTTGGGACGACGAGCAGACTTTCGAGGCGGAGATGTCCGTGCTCCATTTCGGCGGACCACGTCTGGACCACCATCCAACTGAAATTGTGCGTCGACGCATGCCTTCGTCGCTCCGAATTTCGCGCTTCCTTGTGTTACGAGGGACCTCGGGAGGTCCCTTGGGGTTTAGGGAAAA